AATGGCATGAAGGTCTGTAAGTCCAAGGCACAGGATGAGGAAACAGGGGTAGGGAGAAGGTCATAACAGGAGGTTCACCTTGAAACATAAGTTAGGGTCAGATTGCAAAAGGTTTTATGGCATGGTAGATGTCATACTTCATTCTTTTCACTAAAAGGAACGAAGAAGGATTTTAAAGAGGGGAATGAAAGAGGGCACAGGGAGACTGGTTTGAGGCCAGGCTTCTTGCTGAGCATCAGGGTTCAATCACAGATAAAGAAGAGATCCCTGCCAAGGCAAGGTTGTTCATGGAGAAACAGGGAGACAATCTTACTCCCTTAGGAGAGTTTGCTCTGGGTCTATAGTTTATTTCTGGGATCTTGACATTAGTTACTGGATTAGATCCAAATGGGGCCCTATCAAGAATATGTTTAATAAAGTCAAAGCAGTCTTTTACCATTATTTCACTCATTCAATTAACAACTCGTGCCTACTATTAAAAAAATGTTACTTCTGAAAGAAATCCAGTGTCTAAAACAAGTACACAAATGACTAAAATAAAGAATTAAACTAGGAATTAATAAAGCAGTGAAGAAAGGAATGAGGCACCTAAGTAAAGCATTTTGAGAAAGCAGCTGAAATGTCTAAGGGGCAGGAAGGAGTCCTGAAGGAAATGGAACCTGAGTTTAGATCTCAAGGATACACAAAGGGGATTAAATAGGATAGAATATTTCAAGAAGAGGAAAAACGATGAAGATATATGGATGAGATATCTAAATAGCATCAGCAAATAAATGTTATAGATGTTGTTTAAAGCAATTTCCTGACTCCTTGTACTAGTAATGGATTATCTCCATGGAAGTGTAACTATATCCCTTACCATCTTTCAGGTCCTTTTTTAAAAAAAAAGAAAAATTATTTTAGAGAGAGAGAGCAAGCGCATGGGCAGAGTAGGGCAGAAAGAGAGGGAAATAGAGAATCTGAAGCAGGCTCTGCACTGTGTGCAAAAAGCCCGATGTGGGGCTTGAACCCACGTATCATGAGATCATGACTTGAGGCCAAATGACTGAGCCACCCAAATGCTCCACCTTCTTTCAGGTCTTAAAGAGATCGGCAGCACTTTTTTTTTTTTTTTAATGTTTATTTATTATTGAGAGACAGAGAAAGACAGAGCATGAGCATGGGAGGGGCAGAAAGAGGGGAGACAGAATCTGAAGCAGGCTACAGGCTCTGAGCTGTCAGCACAGAGCCCGACGCGTGGCTCAAACTCACAAACCATGAGATCATGACCTGAGCCAAAGTCAACACCCAACAGACTGAGCCAGCCAGGCACCCCTGGCTGCACTCTTTAACAACAGTTCATATTATATTAGACAATCAACTAGGTAAATAAAGACGTTTGTTTAATTTCCAGGTGTAAAGACTTTGACCCCAGGAAAATAGGTATACCCTCTGACCCATCAAATCCACACCTAGGTAAATTTCCACAGAATACATACTTATTTTTACAAAAGATATTTATAAGAATGTTCAGAGTAACGTTATCTATAATAGCCTTATAACTGGAAATAATACTATTATCCATCAAAAATATAGCTGTGACATATTCATACAATAATCTAACATACCACAAAAAAAATGAACTAAAACTATACACATGAATGAATCTCAAAGCATAATGTTGAGTGAATGAAGCTAGATACACACAAACAAAGGACATTAAACCCATATAAAATTCAAAGTTGATAGACCTACTCTATGGTGTTAGTTATGAAGATAGAGGTTACCTTTGGTGAGGCTATGTTTACTCTTAAAATTCATTGAGCTATATACATACAGCTGAGCTCTCTACTATATATGCATGTTAGTTTTCAATAACGATATTTACATTCATTTTAAAAATTCATTAGTTTCTGTGGATAAAAGGAAAACATGATTCTTCTGTAGTTAGTCTTGTTTGGAGGCAGCGTAACTGAGAATTATGGTCTATGTCATAAATGCCATAATAGAAGCAAGCGTGGTGCATTTTCCATGGGGCCAAAGAGGAATGGCACACTATCTGAACTGCAAATGGAGATTATCAAAGGCTTCCTGAAGGACACCCTGCTTCTGTGGATTCTTTTTTTTAAATATTTTTTTAATGTTTTATTTTATTTTTTGAGAGACAGAGAGAGATAGAGCATGAGCAGGGGAGGGGAAGAGAGAGAGGGAGACACAGAATCCAAAGCAGGCTCCAGGCTCTGAGCACAGAGCCTGATGTGGGTCTTGAACCCACAAACGTGAGATCATGACCTAAGCCAAAGTCAGAGGCTCAACCGCTCAACCAAATGGGCCACCCAGGGGTCCCCCTGCTTCAGCGGATTCTTAAAGGAGAAATAGGAATTGATCAGCTTTGCCAGGGTTGTTAACTGAAGACAACAAAATCCACTTTAGCTGGTGCAAGCAGGTGTCTAGGGGCTCTTGGTTGGCTCAGTTGGTCAAGTGTCCAACTTCAGCTCAGGTCATGATCTCACAGTTTGTGGGTTCAAGTCCCACATTGGGCACTGTGCTGACAGATCAGAGCCTGGAGCCTGCTTCAGATTCTGTGATTCCCTCTCTCTCTGCCCCTCCCCTGCTAGTGCTCTGTCTCTCTCAAAAATAAATGAACATTAAAAAAAAAAAAAAAAAAGCAGGTGTCTACTCTGCAATACTTTACACAGTATCTTGTAATGTCTGGGAACTAGGGAACAGAGATCATAGCAGTTTATACATAAGAAAGAAGGAGTATTTGAGACAAATGACTCAAATAAGACTGATTATACTTTCTTCTCTCAGAAATCAGTCCAGATTCTAGTTCAATAGCTGAAGATAATGATGGACAGAACTTACAGTGACACATTTACCATTAATTCAGATACAAACACAATATAATTAAATGTTTACTTGAAGGAACTACTTTTCAAAGGGAAGAATAAAAGGGAAATACAAAGATTACACAGCACATAGAACAAATATAACATAAAAGAATCTTTTAAGTGGGTCACATGGAAATTCTATTCCATGCCCACAAAAGCAGGTTTCCTGGGGTCAGGTTATTATTATTATTTTTTAAATTAGTTTTATTAAGGTATAAGTTATATGCCAGGAAATTCACCAACTTTAAGAGTGCAATTTGTTCAGCTTTGACAAATAACTAGAATTGTAACCAACATGATATAAAACATTCCATCTCTGCATAAACTCTCCCAGACCCCTTTGAAGCCAATCCTACCCCTGTTACCTGTGTCCTAGACTACACTCACCTTTTGCCTCATTAATTTTGATTTTCTAGAAAAAAAATGTAAATATGTAGTCTTTTGTGGCTGCCATCTTTTATTTAGTACAGTGTTTCTTTAACTTTTAAAATTATCTCCCCCTTAAAGAACATTTTTAGCCATTTGTTACCTAATTGTTTCTCCCCTCTTTATTAAGTTTTCATGGCATAGATATACTCTTGTCCACTTGTGTACCTATGTATATTTGTGTTTCATACATGGAAAGATTTTTTTCACACCTTAAGAATGGACTTCTGAGAATATATGATTTACATGTACACCAGCATAATGTTTTTGTAATTCATCAGTGGTTCATTCTAACTGCTGGGTAATTTTGATTATATGAAGAGACATTCGTGAAGTGAGTAAGAATAACTGCAAATGTGTTACAAAGATCAGGTACTAAGAGTATAATTCAATTACTGCTCTTCCTCAGATATGATCCTCAGTCTCCCTGGTGTCAGTAAACAGATCTCTAATCACACAATTGTTCAAGTTAGAAATCTGGGAGTGACTGAGATACTTCCCCCCCCCCCCTTCATTTCCCTATATACAATCCATTAAATTCTGTCAATTTCACCTCTAGATCATTTTTAAAATCTGGTCTCAAGGGATCAGATTTTGCCATGACCCAGAACATTGCAGACATGGAAGGATTTTTTAAAAAATGTTTACTTATTCCGAGAGAGAGAGAGAGAGAGAGAGAGAGAGAGAGAGAGAGAATGCATGCACAAGCAGAGGGGGGTGGTGGCAGAGAAAGAGGGAGAGAATCCCAAGCGGGCTCTACACTGTTAGCACAGAGCCTGATGGAGGGTTGGATCCCATTACCCTGGGATCATGACCTGAGTCACCCAGGAGCCCCAGGATTTTTTTACTCTGAAAGAAATGGGAAGCCACTGAACGAATTTAAGTAAGAAAAGAAATGACTTAGTGTAACTAAAGGATTACTAACTCTTTCATTTAATAAATAATAAATTAGGATGTGGATAATGGGTTAGAAGGGACTAAGACTATTTAGGGAAAGGATCTTTTCAGAGGAAAAGTGATAGTGGTTCTTCCACGAATTTGAAGGTGTGGGAATGGGAGAATTGGGAGATATGCTGTGTTTTCAGTGGGACCCATGAGAATTTAGCCAAGGCCTCACTGCTAGATTACAACATAACTATGGTGAGAAATTCACATATACACTCCTATTGTTTATTGCTGCTTTGATGTAGTTGATTTTCCTTGACCAAACTATTTAGCATCCTAATGAATTATGAATACTCTTGCATCATTTGCTGATGAGTTGGAAGGAATTAGAATCACACTTAAAAGAGAAATATTTTGTACACTTAATGCATCTACTTCAACTTTCCTTCCATGCTATAATTTTTCCCCACTGGCTGTCACAGTAATAGTATCCATGTGTCAGCTTCAGATGGTCTGCAATCCAGTTTTATGCAAACTGTTTTGACTATGTGCATACATACATGTCTCTGGGGGCCTCTCGATGAAGTCTTTAACCTATTAAAGCTTAACAATCAATGACTTAACTATGTTTTCAGTCTCAAGTATACAGATATGCATATGACATAGTCTTTATTCTTAAGGTACATAAAGTTTATATCATATACACAGATAAGTGACAAAGTCATATTGCCAATGCTAGGAAGGAGGTATGAACAAAGCTCTGGAAGCTTTGTCAGTTATATTGGTGTTTTGTCTCTTCTAGGCGACTTCTGAAATATGGCTGACCACAACAGTTCTTCCTGCAGTCCTATATTGACACCCCATTTAACCAGGCTCTACTTCATAGTGCTCATTGGAGGACTGATGGGCATCATCTCTATTTTGTTCCTGCTGGTGAAAATGAACACGCGGTCGGTGACTACCACAGCAGTCATTAACCTGGTGGTGGTCCACAGTGTTTTCTTGGTGACAGTGCCTTTTCGCTTGACATATCTCATCAAGCACATCTGGACATTCGGGTTGCCCTTCTGCAAATTTGTGAGCGCCATGCTACACATCCACATGTACCTCACATTCCTGTTCTATGTGGTGATCCTGGTCATCAGGTACCTCATCTTCTTCAAGCGCAAGGACAAAGTGGAATTCTACAGAAAACTGCATGCTGTGGCGGCCAGTACTGGCATGTGGCTGCTGGTGATTGTCATTGTGGTACCCCTGGTTGTTTCTCAGTATGGAAATTCTGAGACGTATGATGAGAAACACTGTTTTAAATTCCACAAAGAACTTGCTCGTGCCCATGTGCAAGTTATCAACTATATGATAGTCACTATTGTTATAGCCATTGCAGTGATTCTCTTGGTCTTCCAGATCTTCATCATTATGTCAATGGTGCGGAAGCTACGCCACTCCTTGTTGTCCCACCAGGAGTTCTGGGCCCAGCTGAAAAACCTTTTTTTTATAGGAGTCATCCTTGTTTGCTTCCTTCCCTACCAGTTCTTTAGGATCTATTACTTATATGTGGTGGCACAGTCAAGTGACTGTAACAACACTGTTGCATTTTATAATGAAATCTTCTTGAGCGTAACAGCAATTAGCTGCTTTGATTTGCTGCTCTTTGTTCTTGGGGGAAGCCATTGTAAACAAAAGATAATTGACCTATGGAATTGCTTTTTGTGCCGCTAGCCACAAACCACAGTGTTCAGAATCCCTTTATGTTGGGAGTAAAAATGGGCACAGAGAGGCAGGAAGCGTTATTTCCTTACTTGATTAAAACCATGCCTTGATGCAGCCAAACAAAAAGACTATAAAATGTCAGAGCATTCATTCCAGTTCTTATTTAATCCCTGCCATCTCTAAATGATGTCTATAGAAAGACTAGTGATGTTCAGTCCTCTTGGAGCTGCACTACAGCATTATTTTCCAGTATAAAATGTCTACTTGGCCCATGTAGGTACCATGGGTTTAATGGTTTCTGAGTTTCACCAGCTTATTTTGGTTTCATCAGTTTGAAACATGGTCTTTTTCAAGCTTTGGACAGATTTAGCCCTCTAGTTCTTTTCATTCCACTTAACCTTAGGTAAATTAATCCTGGCAATGAATCAGCCCCAAAGGCACAAACTCTACTTGGTTAACCAGATAAGATGTCCATTCAATTCCCACCCTGACAAATAACAGATAAGGGTGGAGAGCAGTAAGACATTTTTCTAGATTATCATAACTTTGGTAGGAAGTCACTTATCTAGCAATAAAGAGAAACAGAACTCCTTGCAGCCTTCTGGGGTAACAAGGCTATCTAGATTTGTCCTTTAAAAAGTCAAGTTTAAGAACAGGGGATCGACATCCTCAATAAATCCAAAAATCATTAAAAAGTTTACTAAACATATATAAATGAGGGTGAAACTATAAGTTAAATAATATTCCTCACCAATATGCTGGTAAGCATTAAAATGAGTTCCTAAGGAAATGATTAATTTTTTTCCCTTTATGCTTTTTGAAAATAACTCTAGATGTCTTGAGCCACAGTTAATTTAGATTTTCCTTGGAAACAGAATGTTATACATTTTAGAGTTCCCTTCTACCCTTAAAGTTACAAGTCTTTAAACAAAAACAATATTCTTAAAAAAGACCTTTTGAGAAATCTAAATAAAAATTAATTTAAGGGGCACCTGGGTGGCTCAGAAGGTTAAGTTGGCCCTTGTCTGACTCTTGACTTTGGCTCGGGTCCTGATCCCATGGTTCCTGAGTTCAAGCCAGACTCCATGTTCAGACTCCATGTTCACAGCATGGAACTTATTTGGGATCCTCTCTCTCTCTCTCTGCCTCTCCCCAGCTCATGCTCTCTCAAAATACATAAATAAACTTAAAAAAAAAAAGGAAAAATTAATTTAGACTATGAGATTAGGCTGCTAAGTTGATACATAGGTTTGTGGGTTTTTTTCCCTTCTTGCTCATATTTCTACTATTTTTCCCAAAGTTTTATAATTTTGAAACTCTCCAAGGAACTGACGCAGTTTCATTTTTAATGCTTCAGAAAACCTAAAGTGATTGGTGCTAGGGATAAAAGAATGGAATGAATTAAGGTAAGGTTTTTTTCTCAGCAAAATAAATGTTCAGAATTTAAAGATTTCTCTTAATTTGTTATACTCTATGGATCCACAAATTTATCAGATGAATAAGAAATATCCCTGTGAGTTTCTATGATCACTAAAATTACTAAGTCATAGAAAATAATTTTGAGGAAGACAAAGCAGCAACATGCTGTATCGATGACTTGTTACCAAAATTTTCCTGTTTTGAAATTTCTTTTATTTGTTCTTTTTAAGGTTATATTTCCTTTATTTCTTATTTGCCTTCTTTTACCATTTTTTCTTAGCTTTTTTTTTCCTTCTCATGACTCATAAAAGTTGTAAGGAAATTTCTAAGATCTACAAACGTTTTAAGAAAATCTGTTACATCCATAAAATTTGTAGGAAAATAATTAGTAAAATATAACAAAAATAAATAGCATAGAATAATACAAATAGTAAAACATTAAAATTTCCAAACAGTTATTTACAGAAATTACATCAAATTTCTTTTCTTATATATCTATGTCTTACTATCATAATATCTGCTAGCTTGTAAAATAAATGTGTTATAACCTCTTCCAGGTTTTTAATATGTTAAGCTCAGACATTATGCTTTTCCCTATATTATTATATATCATAATAAAGGGCCTATTTCTGTGGACCTCTATGAAATATTACCCAAAATATAGAAATGCAATATTCCATAACATAAAATAACTTAATCATCAATATTTAGAAAATAAGTGGACATTTTCAATTTGTCTGTTTGCTGTTTCTCATTACTATGAAAATGAATCTCATGCAGGAGTGGGGGCATTACTGGCCTCTCTGGCCATTTTTGAATATCCAAATCATAAGAGTATACTACTGGCAATTGTGGCTGGGGTCAGAGACATTTTGCCTTGCACACAACTGTCTGCATAATAAATAATTACCAGGGGGCGCCTGGGTGGCGCAGTTGGTTGGGCGTCCGACTTCAGCCAGGTCACCATCTCGCGGTCCGGGAGTTCGAGCCCCGCGTCAGGCTCTGGGCTGATGACTCAGAGCCTGGAGCCTGTTTCCGATTCTGTGTCTCCCTCTCTCTCTGCCCCTCCCCCGTTCATGCTCTGTCTCTCTCTGTCCCAAAAATAAATAAACGTTGAAAAAAAAAATAAATAAATAAAATAAATAATTACCAGGTCTCACTGTGTATTTGAATGCTCTTCCAGACATTTATGAAGTGAAACATATGTAAATAATAATTAGGGCAGTTAGTCAGGTTTTATTCTATTTTCATAAACGCATAGTGTTTTTAGGTATAGTTTTAATTTTCTGAATTTTCCAGAAATGTAGCTACCATGGCATGGATATTGAGGAAAGATTTTATTATGTTTTCCTCAGAACTTTACCAAGAGTTGTTCATTCCTTTGGAAAATCACATTATCAATGGTGACACCATCTATGGCATTAAAATACAACAGAACAAACCTGCAAACAATATTTGTAGCTGTTGTATTCAGGTAGATACTAGAAATAGATGCCAACATCAGACTGCCTGATTTTGTCTCCTTTGGTGATCATGTCTGAGCATTTACACATTGAAATATATTAAATATATATATATACTACTTTATTACAAATAACTGTCTTCTTCGTTATTCATTTGTTACAGTTAGAACATTATATATTTAACACTGTAAGAAGGTTATATTATCTGTGAATTTTGTTTTAAAATGGTAAAAGTGTTACCAAATATTTGCAATAAAAAGGTTTGGGATCTGCAATCATTGAGACCAACTGAGCCAGCACAGAGTCAATTTAAAAGGCAGATTTATCAATTATGACATTATGAACAGAAAAAATATTCTTATATTTCAGGAATACTTAAACCTCAGGTTGATTCAATTCTAAACTATTTCATTTCTGCAGTGATTAAAAGAGTAAATGTAACTTTTTAGAAAATATATATGTGTATTTTCTTTTTTGATAAGACAAAGGCACTTCCCTTTGAGGGAACTCAGGACTCTCAAATTGGCTCATGGTCAATATCTACCAGATTTTAAACCCAGGGATAATGACAATTTTTGAGGCACCGACAGAAAGATTGTTTCTGGCATCCGTCAAGAAAAGCTCTCTACTCAACCTTTGTTCATTTCTTATTTTTCCTCTGAAAAAGTCTTTGGGTCCCTTTCCTCCTTAACCTGACATAGATTAGGTAGAAAGAAACTATTTTGCCTGTAATCTTTGTGTGGAATGATTCAACAAGTGGTGAAAATAAGTAAATCCTCCTCTAATCCTCCTCATTGGGGCTGCCAGTAAAACTGCTTTCCTAAGCTAATAAAGGGGTTGTGAAGGAGGGCACTGAGCCAAGACATTCTCAGTCATCAACTCTTGAGTGGAAGGTCAGTGAGGTGAAACTGTGAAATTGCCATTTATTAGATTATGCAGATTTTGCTCACGTAACCTCTAATAAGATGAGGCATGGACTGAGGACTCTCACACCTTTTGGGGATGACAGGAACAGGAAATTCTCTTTGTAATACGGGCTGGTTATAGCACTTTGGAGATAGTTGGTAACAAAAGTCCTATGGTAACAGGGCACAGTGATGGTGGATTTGCTTGGATAATGCCAAAAAAGAAAACCCTAAAGACTCCCCCCAAAAACTGTTATAATAAAGGAAATCAGTAGTTACAAAATACAAAATCAATAGTCAAAAATCAGTTGCATTACTATCTACTATCAACAAGCTATCAGAAAAAGAAATTAAGACAACAATCACATTTACAATTACATGGAAAAGAATAAAATACTTAGAAATAAATTTAACCAAGAGGTAAAAGAGCTGTACAAAGAAAACTCTAAGACATTAATAAAAGAAACTAAGGAAGATGCACGGAAAGATATTCCATGCTCATGGACTGTTAGAATTATTATTGTTAAAATGTCCATACCACCAAAAGCAATCTACTGATTCAATGCAAAATCAAAACTCCAATGGCATTTGTCACAGAAATAGAAAAAAAAAATCCTAAAATTTGTATGCAACTACAAGAGATCCCCAAAAGCCAAAGCAATATTGAGAAAGAAGAACCAAGCTGGAGGCATCACTCTTCCTGATTTCAAACTATATTACAAAGCTATCGTTGGAGCGCCTGGGTGGCGCAGTCGGTTAAGCGTCCGACTTCAGCCAGGTCACGATCTCGCGGTCCGTGAGTTCGAGCCCCGCGTCAGGCTCTGGGCTGATGGCTCAGAGCCTGGAGCCTGTTTCCGATTCTGTGTCTCCCTCTCTCTCTGCCCCTCCCCCGTTCATGCTCTGTCTCTGTCCCAAAAATAAATAAACGTTGGGAAAAAAAAATTAAAAAAAAAAAAAGCTATCGTAATCAAAACAGCATAATACTGGCTTAAAAACAGACCCATAGATCAATGGAGAATAGAGCCCAGAAATAAACTAATGCATTTATAATCAATTATTTTATGGCAAAGGAGCCAAGAATATGCAATGGGGAAAGGACAATCTCCAGTAAATGGTTGGGAAAACTGGACCACCACATGCAACATAATGAAATGGGACTCTTATCTTATGCCAGGTGCAAAAATCAGCTTAAAATGGATTAGACTTAAATTTAAGATATGAA